TGTTTTTCTTTTGGGGTCGAATCTATATGATGCTTATTAGTTTTGCTAAGCCTCTTTCTCTGCATAGTACAGAAAGGGCTTGTGGATTTATGTGTGGGAAGCAGACAAGTATTTTTTTTTAACAAGCATCTTCACTCTCAAAACTTGTGATTGTTTATTTTCTCTCACTCTTCTGGTTGCTGAGTCAGAAACGACTCATAGGTGACTCTCCATTGGGTCTCCAAGACTGAAATCGCACCAGAGGAGATTGTTAATCTTGGAGCAGCTGGTGGATCCAAAGGGCCGGGGATGGCCTCTAAAATAGCACTGCAATTCCCTCTGGACTTCGCCACCAGAACTCCTCTATGTTTGTAAATATCTCATAATCCTATGAATCAGAATTGACTCTATGCCAATGCATTTGGATTTTGGTTTATGTAAACTCAGTGCAGTGTAATGTCCTCTTTCCCAGGCAAACATTTTCCAGACTTTCATCACACAAGCTTCCTTTCATAAAGACATATGTCATAGACTGAGTTGTGTCCCATATGTAATATTGTCCTATGGAAACTCTTTAATGATCCTCTAAACTAAATAGATGTAAGAGGATATAAGGGTGAATGTTGTTAGGTACTGTCAAGTCAAATACATCTTACATAGCAACTCTGTGAACAACAGATCTAAACCCTGTGCCGCCCTGACTATCTCTGATATACTTGAGCCCATGGTGCACTCACCATGTCAAACCACCTGGTTGAAGGTCTTCCTCTATTCTGCCAGCCCTCCACCTTTCCAAGCATGATGTCCCTACCTTAGGAATAGCTTGTCTTAACAACACGCAAGAAGTATATGAGACAAATCTTCATCTTTGCCCCCAAGAGTACTCTGGTTGCACTTTCTCTGAGATGGATCTGTTCTTATGGGAAGCCAAGCTTTATACCAAAATGAAAATCCTTGTTCAGGAGTTGAAGGAATTACAGATTTATAAGTTAGATTTCTCTTGTGACAGATCCCAGAAAATGAGCTGTTTGTTCCCTGAAGACAGGAGACAGCAAGGGGCCTCTTACAGAGGGAGTGTTACTTCCTGAGCTAGAGCTCACCCTGAGGCATCAAGGCAATCCTTAAGGGTAAACCAAATTCTTGCATTTGTGAGCCCCTCCCTCCTGAATCAAGCAGAAAGTTTTCAATAGAAAGAGCTTGGCTTCATTTGCATTGAATTCTCTTTGTGATTTATTTCCTGGTAATTTTCAATAAAGATACAGAGAAGCTTGACTTGGGGTCTTCAGTCAAGAACTGCTGGTCCCCTGTTTTATGCTCTCTGCTCTATCTCATTCCTGGCTGTTTGTCTCATTATTAATAATTATAAAATTATTCCATTCTTCGGGACCCTTGGTCTGCAACATGTTCTCCTTAATTTCATCATAGTCCCTGATCTAATGTGAAAGCAGTTTCTCTAGGGTATGACCTGTATCACCTTTTATTTAATAAGAGATAGATGGAAGGAAAACAAATGCAGAGTGAGGGGGGCCCTCAGCACCACTAAGAAAGAGTCACCAGGAGTGGAGTTCTATCAATTTGTTTGGGGTCCCTGTGTTGGGAAGCTCCTCTATCCTGGGAAAGGCCAGGGCGCATGGAGAGCTCCGTGAATGGCTGGCCTACAAATGTTGTGGGAAGTAAGGATTATCCTCCAGAACTGACAGAGAAGGGAGCTCTGGTGGTTGGTATAGTCTGTAATGTGTCCTGCTGCTAATCAGAACCAACAGAACTAGAAGGCCTTCTTGTACAGTAGAAGTATAAATTTCTGCTTGTCAAGGCAACATCAGATGGCAAAGACCAATGCATGTGCACAAGGATAGGTTGGTCTCCACATATAGGGAAAAGTGATTTGTTAAGAGCACAATTTTAACATCCACAAAAATCAGAGCAGCACCCCAGTGATGCCACTAAAGTGTGTTCTGATCAACAGATTACTTGTTTTCCTTCTCTCTGCTGGCACCACGAGCTTCCTAGCTGTGCCATTTATCATATCCAAAATAGTGCTGGTGTCAGCGAGTCTGTCTGCCTTGCCGAGAACAGGTATCTGAACCCATCTGCATCTGTCAGCATATGAAGAAAGCAGGCCCTCCATCATCACTGTCAGTCAAATTGATTTGCGCAAATAATAATGGGGAAATGGGTGGAGTGCATCCCTACCATAGAATTCAGTACGGGGACCAACAGCAAAGCTTCTAAATAATTTATTGACCTGGGAAAAATGATAATAGCACACTGCTAATAAAAAACCAACAGAACAATGAACACAGCTAGAGTCAATTTTCATCATCATAATAAATATGCCCAGAGAAAAGAGTCAATAGAAATCACATCCCAAAATATACAGATTGTCTTTGGTAAGTGGAATGATGGGCGATTTTGCAGTTTGTTTACTTTCTTTTGTGTTTCCAAGCTTTTTAAGAAATGGGATTTTTTGCTAGAGTTTAGTGAATGGATGGAAGGGGTGGAAGAGGGGTATAGTGAGGTTTCCATAAGACATTGCAAATTATGGATTTATACAACTGTCATTAACATAAAACAAAACATGTGTGAGTGGTTGAGTGAAAATCAATAGAAAATATAAAGCACTCTTTACAGATCTTTTTTGGGGGGCGGGGGAAGACTTTTAAAGACATGCTATCTAAGGGAAAAAGGAAATAAAGACATCATAAACAGACACGTTTTTGGAAGAGATGAGGTACAAAGAATACTTTGAGAAAATAAAGTAGTCTGAATGAAAGACCTTTCCAATTTCTTTCATCAAGACCGGAAGCCCCAATTCCACTCACTTACAAGACATGTTCTTTCTTCCCACCCAAATATGTCAGGTATTCCACAGACCATTAACCTACTGGTGGCACCAATGTGGGAGGTGAGTTCTGATCCCCAAAACCAGAAGAACATTGACCTTCTATTTGCCCATTATTCAACTCTCCCAGGAAGCTCTTGCCATACCATCCAACTTTCAGGGAAGGGAAATTCTAGGAAAATATCCAGAATGAAAAAAATAATAATTGGAACCTCTGAGTCGCTTCCCTCCATGGCTAGCTATTTCAAAAAGCACCACATGTTATATGTCTATTGTTGGATTTTTTTAAAATTACATTTTATTAGTTTTAATGAACATTTACAGAGATTTTGGGTTTTCATTCATTCATTGTTGCACTATTATTGTTGGATTTTAGTGACACTAAAAATTCAAAGGGCTTTCTTAGTTTTACTCCCAACAAGGGTTCCCTAATATTATTTCCCGTTGGATTTCAGGTTCATCCATCACGACTTCCATGTTCCCTTACGTTTCCAAGAGCCTAAGCTCTGTAGTAGGAGTCAAAACTGGGGATTTAGATGAGACTTGGAACAGAGATGGAGTCAACCTGAAACTCATGTTTGAGGAGCTGAAGGGTGCTGCCGAGACTTTGTTTACAAATGTTATTGTGTGCCCGATTATTTTGCACCCAAGCCCTTGTCTCACATTCTTTGTCCCAAACGTCTAGCAAAACGTCTCATTTTGAGTATTCATTTGTTCCATTTGATTATATCCTTTTACTTAGAAGAAGGTCATGGAAAAAGGCTAAATCAAATCCCAAAGCTGACTTAGTCTAGACAACTTTGAAGTTCCCTCTCAGTCCCAAGAGGCTACAAGTCCAGGTTGGTATCAGAGGTCAGACACTGTGGCTGGGGATCCCTCTTACTGGGTCCTGGCTCGGCCTCTAAGGCGGTGAGTCAGAACCCCACAGAAAGCTCATTCTCTTTTGTGGAAGGCGACACTGAGCTGACCCTCTCCAGCCTCTCAGTGGAGAGGAAGGGAAAGCATTTAGCCAAGTGCACGATAATGAACCTGTGGAACAGTTGATGGAGGTACTTCCGGAACCTCTCGCCCACAAAGACGTAGATGACGGGGTTGATGCAACAGTGTGAGAAGGCGATCATCTCTGTCACTTGTATGGCCATGTCCAGCTGTTTGCTCTGCTCACACTCATGGGTGAAAAGAGAGTCTTGGTATGCGGAGACCAGCAGAGCCAGGCTGTAGGGCGTCCAAAACAGGAAGAAGATGATCATGATGACGAAAATCAGCCGGACGGCTTTGAGCTTCTGCTCATTCGGTCGTCTGAGCAGAATCCTGATGATCCCCGTGTAACAGACAATCATGACCACCAGAGGCAAGAACAGCCCCAAGATGTTCAGTTTCAGCGCCTGGAACTGTTTCCACTCCTTCAGGGTCTCGTGAGGGAAGTGGAGGCTGCATGTGTAGCGATCAAACTCCAGCTGGGTCTTGGAAAATTGCCAGCCAGGGATGGACGCCAAGATGGCCAGGACCCACGTGACAATGCTGCTTATGATGCCAAACGTGATGGTCCGGGCCCTCAGGGCAAACACAGCGTGGACAATGGCCAGGTACCTGTCGACCGTCAGCAGGATCATGAAGAAGATCTCACTGTATAAGCCCACGTAGTAGAAACCCGAGAGGAATTTGCAGATGACGTCACCAAAAGCCCAGTTATCCTTCAGTTTATAGTCGATCCAAAAGGGCAGCGTGAAAAGGAAGAGCAGATCGGAAATGGCCAGGTTGAGGAGGTAGATGCTGGTCATGCTTTTGAGCCGCTTGTACTGTATCAGGACCAGGACCACCAGGATGTTGCCCACCAGGCCAATGACAAACACCAAGGAGTACAAAGGTGGAAGCAGCTGGGCCCCAAAGTCCCTGATTTCTTTCTTCTGACACGGGGTTGCCCCTGAGTAGTCATATTCTGTGGTCATGTCATAGTCCACCGGGGTGGTTGTTATCTCCATCTGGGCCTCTCCTGTGGGTCAAGGAAAGGTGTTTAGTTGACTGATAAAGGCAGCGCGATCTGGGCAACAAAGACAGGCAGTCAGTTAGTTCTATTTCTTCAAACACTTGGCAGATGCTTAGAGAGCACCTTCTGTGTACTTGCCTTGTTGACGAAATGAGGAGCAAGGGAAATGTAAGTCTTTTCTGACTTCTTGTAAACTGTAGTCAAACAAAGGGGGCTGGTAAGGAACAGGTACACAAATCTTTAGCTATTTGGCAAGTTCTGTGAGGATCAAGTTCAGCGGATGGAGAGCACGTAGAAAAAGAGATCTTTCCACACTATTAGTACTAATACATCCTAAGTACTTTCTGTCTAACATACTTTGGACATGTTGCAAGGAGAGACAGGTCCTTGGAGAGGGACATCATGCTGGGTAGGGTGGAGGGACAGCGCAGAAGGGGAAGGCCCCCTATGAGGTGGATTGATTCAGTGACTGGGGTAATCGGGATGGGTGTGTCGGAGACGGTGCGATTGGCACAGGACAGAGCAGAGTTTAGGGATGTTGTACATAGGCTTGCTATGAGGTGCAAGCGACTCGATGGCACATAACAACAACAACTTTCAGTGGACTAGGCATTGGACTTAGTGATAAAGAACTTGTAAGAAGGTGTCATTTGGTTCCCCATTTTAGAGGTGGTGACTCAGAGGTTTGGAATGCTTATGTAAACATCTCAAAGACAAACAGCTCATGAGAGTAAGAGGTATCGCTGGAAGCCAGGTATGCATCACTCTCAAATTCATTCCTGAAACCAATTAGCTTTTCTGTCTCTGAATGAGTGATGACTTTACCCTGTGAGTCAAAAAGAGGATGTTGAGAAGGGAAAAGGTTTAGTTGAGAATAAAATAGCTTACAGACTAACCTTTTGGGAGTAGAAAGGCTCTCAATCAGGGACACATAGCTCTCCGGGGTACTTGGAAATGTGTAAGTTTTGTCGTTGTCATAAAGACTGACAATACCACGTCATTTGGTGAGGGGGCCAAGCATGCAAATGCAAAATTATCCTACAAATTGAGCCTACAAATGCACAATTGTCCTACTCTAATCATACTCGACTCAAGGGAACCTAACAACAACAAATGTCAGTAGTGTAACCTAATATGCTACCCCACCACTTTGCAAATAGGGACACTGAGGGTACGGGAGTAGGCTCAGTTCTGCTTGTGTCACCTAGCCCACATGTGGCACAGGTAGGTCTGCAGGTAACTCCATACTCCTGAGAGCTGTCAGGAGGATGCCTAGGTATGCGGAGGACTGGAGGGACCTACAGAGAAGAGAAATTTAGAGGATCAGGGGAGATAGAGTTGAAAGAAAGGCCATGTTTTGGGAAGTGAAATTCTACTGTTATACGGTCCACATGATCTAGAATCACATGTTAGGCTTCTAGATGAAAGACCAGCAGTTTGAGCCCATAACCTTTTCCATGGGGAAAATATAGGTGGTCTCCTCCTGGGAAAGAATTCCAGCCTCAGAAACCCACTGCAGGATCTTTGTGAGTTAGAATCAACTTGATAGCCGTGGGCTGATTAGACCTGCTGTTGTTTGATGACATCAAGTCAAGTATGACTCAAAGTGACCCCTATGAAGACATGATCTGAACCCTGTCCTGTCCGATGCCATCCTCCCAATCACTGCAGTCACCATGGCATCTCCTCTAGTTGCAGGTCTTTCTCTCTTTCATTGACTTTCCACCTTCTCAATATGATGTCGTTCCCCAAGGAAAAACCTCTCCTAGCAACGTGCCCAGGGGAGCCTGGTGGCCTAGTGACAGACAAGTAGCTGTGCTGCAATCCTGAAGGCGGTTCGAGGCCATCAGCTGGCTGCCGCACGGGAGAAGGATGAGCCGTCTCCTCCCGCGTGATTAACTGCCTCTGAAAACCTACCGGAGGGTCAGCTATGGGTTGGTTTTGACTGCACAGTATACAACAACAACAACAACAACAACAACATGCCCAAGGAATGTGAGATGAAGCGTCATCGTCTTTGCCTCCAGTGAGCACTCTGATTGCACCTTCTCCAAGAGAGATCTGTTCTTTGGGCAGTCCACAGATCTTCAGCACTCTTGTCCAACACCACAGCTCAATGACATCGATTCTTCTTTGATCATCCTTCCTCATCGTCCAGCTCTGATATTAGACCTACTCAGCGGTATTTTCAGTCAACCCATGAACATGAGAAAGCTGAAAAAGGAAATAGAAGATAAATGGATGCCTTTGATTTATAGTATTAGGTGAGAATATTGACTATATCTTGGGCTGTCAAAAGAATGGACAAATAAATCTATCTTGGAAGAATTACAGTCAGTTTTTCTTTCTGGAAGGAGAGTAAGACTATCACCTATTTTGGACATGTTATCCAAAGCGTTATGTGGATGATACAACACTGCTTGCTGAAACTGATGAAGACCTGAAGTGCTTGCTGCAGAAGG